TCTATGTGCGCTGCCATCACCATGGCAATTTATCATTTGTTTAGTGTACTAAGGGCTTTTGGAATTGGTGATGGGTTTTTGATTTGAGTGAATTTGGGAACTTGCAAGGAGAGTTTCATAATAAAGAACAATGAGTGAAGTTACATTTGTTGCAGGATCACTGCATTGAAACTGGTCTTTGCTTTGTTGTTTTTGTTTAGCAGGGTTCCATTGGAAAAGTAGTGCAAATAATGCTGTAAATTTTCTTTATTTTTCCTCTTCAGTGGGTGTTGGCCTTTGAGATCTTCATCCCTCTCGTCCTTTTCTTCATCCTCCTGGGTTTGAGGCAGAAGAAGCCAGCAATTTCTGTCAAGGAAGGTAGGCAGACATAATACTTATGAATGATGACAGCAGGGTGACATATTGCATTAATGTAGTGTACTGTAAGCTAATGGTATGGCCACAGTAAATGGCAATTGAAATTCTTAGTATTTTTCAATTATTCTCCATTACACAGTAAGAGTTTATTGTAATCTGAAATCCAGATTATCCTTTACTGGTGACACTGGTGCATCTAATGTTTTCTGTTTAGATGCACCAGCACATAATTTAAGTGTGCCCAATTTTTCACCATGCCTTTTGGTGCTGAGCAATACATTTGGATGTGAAGTTGTCATAGGAATGAGGCTGCAAAAGGTAATCTTTGTCAATAATGTAATTCTACTGGTTCATACAATAGAGTAGGTGATTACATTTTAATCGCACGTGACTGAAATAATATCAAAAGCTTGGAACATAGCATCGATTGAAAATAACCACAATAAAGGACAATGATTATGCAGGTGCAGCAAGCACCAAGTAGTAGTTTTTAGTACATAGACTATATTTCCTGGCTTACTTACTGCAAGGGGCCAGACATTTGCAGCAGTATAAGTATGAAAGAGGGAATGAATTGGAATAAATATCAGAGGCTCTGGTGATTCAGAAAAACTGTAGGTAATTCTTATCTAGTCTGATAACATAAACTGAAGTGGTGATTACCAAAAACACTGTCAGATAGTCACATCTAACAAAAGCTTCATGAGAACACCTCAACAGATGGACACTTCTTTTAGAAAGCACATTGCTGCAACAGCATGATGTGAAAACACAGCACAACAAATATGCAGCCAGAGGAAGATGAATTGTTTTTGTTTGTTTTTTCTGAGTAAATGAGTACAATGATGTAACAAATATAAAAAAGAATGCCAGTAAAGCCTTTCTTATAGTTGCATTCATCTGATGTTTTTACAGACATATTTCTAGATATGTGACAGCAGCTTTTTCAAGTTGATGCATTTCAAAAAAAAAAAGAAAAAGAAAAAGAAAAAGAAAAAAAAGATTTTGCTAAACAAGCAAAAAAAAGTTGGACAGAAAGATTTACTAGACCCTGGTCATTTAAGACACATTTTCCATTAACATACAGGCAGCTTATTTTGCACTGCCTTATTTGAATGACCCCAGCTCCCTTTGTCCCTCTTTGGGCATTAGTTTAAAGGTACACTTTACTAAGAAACTTTTTTACAGTATCCTTTTAGACTCCATTAATGATTAGGGTAGAGCATATCCACATTGGAAGGCAGTGAGGGAGGGAGGGTGGAAATGAAGAATGGTGGTATATACTGGTATTAGAATACCTTGTCCTTTTCTCCATGTTAACTTGGACTATGTTGTTTTAGGCATAACAGTGAACACTACTGTGTCCTGTTTTCTTTGGTCTGTCTGCAGTCATTAAGGCGTGACTCTGTGCAATACCGTCATGTATTGTAAACTGGCAAACATATACTTTTGCTCTGTTGTCAAATATGTGATCCGACCAATTTTCTTTGTCCTGAGTTCTCCTTTCGGTTGTGTGTTTTACTGACCTTTGTAGATTTTTCCATTTTTTGTTCTGAGTGCACTTTACCATTGCCTGTAGTCATTGTAGCATTTTGATGCTTTTTGTCTTTGTTCTTGCTGTTCTTTCTTTGTTTCTCTGTTTCTGGTTGTGTTTCTTTCCTTCCTGTGCATGATGCATGTTTTCAACATGTTGGATGGACCAGTGTGTAAGTGTCATCATCACTTAATTTTATCCTGCCACAAGATCCTGACTGACAAGACACATTAATGAGAACATTTTGATTTCCTGTTAACTGAACCAGGATGTATTAATCCTCTTTAGAGATGTGTTTCTCTATGTGTGTATTTACTCGGTGTTGGCTAACCCTCACCTATGTGTCATGGTCTTCCATGTTACATAGAACCCAGAACCAGCAAATCTCAGTCACTCAGTAGATCGTAACAAAAAGCAACTGGTGATAGGAAAGTTTCTTGTGTAAACTGTGTAAAAAACATTTTTTTTCTGAACATGGAAAGGTCTCTTCACTTCCAGTCAGTAATGAATTTAAAAAACAACACCTGCTACATTAGGAATTGCTTGTTTGTAGTAATTTAACCATCACTTTGATTGGCAAGAATTAGAAGTGAGTAAAGCATACTTATGAACATGTAACTGAACTCACCAGTTTCTAGGATTTTTGTTTATCTTTTGCTGTCTATTATGTCTTCCCTGGGATACCACATTTGTCATTTCCACGGTACATTGTACTGTAGCCAAATGCCTATGCACCACTAAAGAAGCTACATGCTTTTCTGAGCTGTGACTGAACCTATTGACTCAAATTCTGATCAGACAGAATCATTTCAGGGTCTGCCTGACTCAAAATGGATTTATTGTCATATAGTTGCTCCTGCAGTGATTGTGTTTGAGGAAAATGTATTTTGGGGGGGCATACTGCAATCACTGCTAGCAGCTATTTCAAAATCAAGGGCTTCCCTTGTAAATCTGTCAATGCCCTCTAGGGCAACAAACAACTCCTGATTTGACACCCCTGTTAGCTCAATAACATCATTTGTGTGTGCCTTGCAGAACCATTTAAATTATTGTTAAAGAAAAAATAAAGCTTCTCAGAAAAATCTTGGTTATGACACCTGACTTTGCTGTTTTACTGCTGCCATAATTACTATTATACAAATGCTGTATTCATACCTGTTGTGAAAAAAACTGACAACTGTTCTTCTAGGGAGGACAATTTTAAAATCAAAGACAACACAGAATGTCTTTCTTAGTCCTGACTGACGTGCACCTATAAGCAGTAGTACTCTCATTTCTCTTTTACAATACTACAACTAAGTATGACTGTGGTTTCGTTTATGTGTAACTTCTAGCTACACCATGTCTTTGATGTCACACAGTTTATTCTGCCCCACAACGGCAGAGCATAGGAGCTACAGATAGAGAGGAGTTCATTAATTTATAGTGTAATAGTGTGTGATTTATAGGCAGCTTAACCACCAAATCACAAGAAATTCACTAGTCACAAATTAGGTTTGCTACATCAGAAGTTTAGCTGTTCTTGTTTTCTTCTTACAGACTGATTTAGCTGCTGCCTTCCTTAATTATTTGGAAAAACAAACAAATCAAAATAAATATTTTCCATGTACAGATAGGAGAAAATCTATACTTCAAAGCAGATGTTACAGTTAATAGGTTAGGTTTGACCAAATATGTGACCTGACTTTCGATGACAGCAGTGATTTCAACTGAAGAGACCTTTCTTCATCAGAGTGAATCATGTTTGGTTTTTTTTCCACCTTGGAGGTTGTAAACACTGAGATTTCCTTCCTCTGCCATCCAATGAGTTTACATTTTCATTATTCTTTTCATTGATGAGCCACTGAATGACTGATTGGGTTTAAAATCTTTCTGTGTCTGTGCTCAGGTCAGAATTAATACATGTCCACTTCCTCCTGTGAGTGTGTTCCTCTCAGTCCTGACACATCTGATCTTACGGCATCTTGTCTGCTGTGTGTTGACTGAGTGACTGAGCTCTGTCTCCAACCACAGAATACCATCCTGCTTCACGCTGTTTTTGAATTATTAAACTTTATTCTGTCCAGATCAGTAATACATTCCAAAAACACTGGCTTCTGGACAGAGAGGAACACACGTGTATGTATACTGGTGTGAATACTTAACCTTACGTGGAATAATCTAATACATTACCTTTCCATACAAACACAACAGAGCTAACACATCATTCTATGATTACATTGTTGACTGTTGTTACCCTTTGATTGCATTATTTCTTTTTGTATTTCTGAAGATGCAGTCAATACCCGTGTGCCTTGGTGTGTGGACTTTTTTGTTTTTGGAGGATGTATGTGTGCCTGAGTCAGCGAAAATTCCTGGTTTAACTTCATGAATTACTGTTCAGTCTTGTAGTTCTTGTTTCGCACAAGGTGTTGAGTACTTAACAATCTCTACTCTTCATGTTTAACCTAATTATGGCTTCTGACCTGTATTCAACACCCACTTTTGATGACCTTTTTTCTCAGCTTGGTGGCCAGAGAGGACAGATTTCAAAGACTGGTGGAATTGACCTAATTTGTGGAC